CTGCTCTTAATAATTTAGAGAAGCTTCTCTTTTTCTCTCGCCCCTGTTGGGGCTGGCCCCCAAAGGCAGCTGCAAAGCAACCCCCCCCATTAGCAGGCTGGTCTCAGGGTGCTCGCCCAGCCCCTTGGGGACGAGCATCCCTGCCGTGCTGGGGGCCTGGCTGCCATCAGCTGGGACAAAGCTCACAGTGTGGTGCTTGGTGCAGCTTTCTGGCTCCAAACTTCCATTTTCCCTCTTGAAAGTGATGCTGAGGCCATGCCGCCTGCCAGAAACCAGAATGGAAAGAAGTGACAACTGCTTGAGAGGGGAGAAACCCCAGTAAGGAGTGGCTTTGGAGGCAGCAGAGACCTGCTGGGAGACCACGAAACCCAGCGGAAACGAGAAGAGTCACTTGCATCTCACACTTCAGTGGCACCGTCAGCAGGTTTCTTTTTCCCTTACCCCCAGTAAAACCAGTGCAGCCTTGTGGGAGCCAGCCTGGGCACTGAGGGAAGGGGTGAGGCATGCCGGGCACCGCAGTGTGTCCCCTGCAGGGGGTGGGAAGTCCCTGAGAAACCTCCAGAAAGGACCAGACAGGATGAACATCCATCTGGGATGGCTTTCACCCTTCCTCAGGGCAGGACAGTGGATGTGGTGGCCCCCCCTTAGTCCCCAGTGCTGCTGAAGGCTCCCAGTAGCCACCACGGGCAGTGCCGGAACTTCTGCAACATTCACCCATGCCAATGCACGGCTCAGCCCGTCGGGGCTTTTTGCAAGCAGCAGCCCGGCTCCTGGCGTGGGCAGCTCCGTCAGAGACCTGCTGTGGCCGGCTGGGCTCGGCTCACCCGGAAAGCCAAGGCAAGAGGCAGCCACAGCGGGCGAGAAGTGGGATCTCAGTCAGCAGTTTTGCTTTTGGCTTTCCCGTCAGACGTGACACTGGTGAGAGGGTGGGCCCTGCTTCATATTTTCCACCCTGCCTCTCGGGCAGTGGAGCTGCCAGGTCTTCAGCCCTTCCTGCACTGCCCGGCTGCAGCCATGGCTCCTCCAGGAGTGGCTGGGGGTGGGGTTTTTTTCTTGGTGGATGGTGGTCTGCAGCCGGCTGGAGGCTCCCAAGCTGTCTGGTGGGGCTGGAGGTATAGCAAAAACATCTCCCGCTGCCATTTGGGATGACAGAACCCAGCCTGTGGCAGTGCCTGCGCCCGTCTGGGTTCCCAGCAGCCTGGCTGCAATCCTGCGCCTTGCAGGGAGCAAGGCTGGGGTCTGAGGATGTGTGGGGTGAGTGGTGGGGATGCTCCAGGCTGCCAGGTGCCATCTCCCATCCCTGTTTGGAGGACAGGTTGCCCAGCACTTGCAGACGCCCAAGCTGTGTTCCCCTGTGCTGGGCACAGCACTGGCTGTGCCAGCCAGCGCAGGAACAGGGCTGGGATGAACTCTGGGCGGGATGCAGGTGTCAAGCCCCCAGCTGAGCATCCCCAGACCAAGCAATGCCCTGAGATGAGCATCAGCCCCCACAGCCCAGCATCGTGCTTGGAGATGGGGAGCTGAGTGCGTTTGAGTGCAGGAACTGCTTTTGCCTTTCCATGCAAGCCAGGAGAGCAGCCACCCACGGTTTTGACTCTCCTTGCAGCATGGTGACAGTAGTTCAATCTTCCTGGAGTCACTGTGCAGGATCTGGAGGATGCTGTCTTATCTCCCATCCTGAGAAGTCCCCAGTTCTGGCTTTCCCAGTTCCACCATCCCATATCCCTCCTTCCCCTGCCCCTCACTCCATATCACAGCCCCGCTGGTTTTGCCCACCACTGCACCCATACCTGCTGGCTGCCTGCTATTTGCATCAGCTGGCAGGTTTATGCCCCTTTTCTCCACTCCAAATTCAGCAGGGACCCAGGCAAACTCATTTACAGCTATGATGCCAAGGTTTGCCTCAGGATTTCTGGGGAGGGGAGCTGAGCTGGCACCCTTAAGTCCTTTGGCTTTCCCCGCCTGCACCAAGAGGCCGGGCTGCCATGGCCCTGGCATGGTTTTGGGGTACGTCCTTTCTGCCGCAGCTGCTTTGCTGGCTCTGGAGGGGTGCGGGTGGCAGGGCTGCCGTGGTCTTTGGTGTAGGATGCGAAGAGGAGGTTTGCTGCAGAGCGGTTAGGCAGAGCCTAGCAGCTGGCTGCGGTTTTTGGCCTCGCTCCCCACAGCGTCGTAGCCGCTGGGGCTAACCCCAGTGCCACAGGGCCACTGGCCACTGACGAAATAAGAGCAGGGCCCCAGCTTGGTCCTCAGCATCCCGTTTTGGGAAAACTGAGCCTTACAGCAGTGCAAGCGGGAGGAGAGCAAGGCCCTGTAAAATGTAATAACACCTGGACCTGACTCTTCTGTGCTCTCAGGATGTGCCATCACCGGGAATACTCCTGAAAGGCCAGAGGGGACAGGGTGTAGATGTGGGTCTTCCCATCTCATTCCTACTGGCACCATGATGTGAGTGATGGAGGATGCTCCTGACATCCCCTTTCTCCATGCTTTGTGCTCACAAGTGCACAGCAGCTAAACCGGAGTAGGTTCCAATATTTTTTTCCCCTGTATCACCCCAGAGCAAGCATCCCCAGCCTGGCCCTGCGCACTCGAGTGCAAGCACACACACACATGCCCACGAACACACAAA